TCTAGAATGATCAGCAAAGGTTTCACAAGGAAGATAGGTTCTTTCAGGTCTCATAAAATGTAAATATTTGACTGGATAATGGGAGAGAAAGCAGCAACATGAATTTAAGCAGGAATGAGATTGGAGTGAGTAGTGCATATCCAAGAAGTTGTAGCAAGAAGCCAGCCAGCTGTACCAAATGGCCAACTACTGGACAGCCTGAGTAAGCCAGATACCCTTGAAAGCTAAATCTGTATTTCAGCAGTCGTTGAGTAGGAGAAATTCTCATTGTGATGCTTTGCCTTCTCCTTATAGTTAGTGGAGAGAATGGTAGTTACATAATTCAAGTGGGAGAGAATGGTAGTTACATAATTCAAGTTACCCTATGCTTTTAACTCATGGATAGAACACTTACTTGTCCAGGAGACAGAACCAAAGTTGACAAATCTAGACTATAAAGTGTCTTTTTTCTCCCCCTTTTTTGGTATCCTTCCAAATTTCCCATGTTAAATTTTCACATATCCACCCCTTTGCATAAATTCTTTCTGAGTCAGAGTCTCACTCTGTCACCCATGCTGGAGTGCAGTGGCACACTCACGGCCACCACAGTCTTGACCTGCTGGGCTCAGATGATCCTTCTGCTTCAGTCTTCCAAGTAGCTGCAACCACAGGTGTGCACCACCAAGCCCACTTAATTTTTTATTTTTTACTTTTTTGTAGAGATGAGGTCTACAAAAGATGAGGTCTACCAAGTTGCCCAGGCTGGTCTTGAACCCTTGCCCAAGCAGTCTTCTTGCCTTCTCCTCCCAAAGGGGGGCCACACCTCATCAACAAGGGTACCTGCATAATGAACATTTGTATACCTAACCCTGAATTGTATCCCACATCTTTAAAATTTAAAAAAAATTTAAAAAAAACACTAAGTGCTGGGATTACAGGCATGAACCACCATGCCTGACACTCTTGAATAAATTCAAGTAGCCTCTGATTTTGAGTGGAATCATGGATCTGAATGAAGCTGGAGAGATCATCTAAACCAGTGTCCTGCGTTTGTTAGGAACTGAGTTTAGCTTCTGTTTGGATAAGAACCTGTCTTCTTTCAAAAGACTATATTGGATCATGACAGAGTGGCTGATATTGGAGTAACCCTTCTGCCATAAATAAATAGGCACAAAAGCTTATTAGAATAGATAAAAACAATTATTTAAAGGCATTGCAGAGCAGCCAGTGTTGTGACTACTTAAGAGAATATCATTCCCTAGAGAAAGGAGGCAGCTGGGAGTGAGCCACACATTCATTTTTGCTTTTTCCCTGAGGACACTTTCCAATTCCATGTCCAAGGATATGGAGTTCCAGCAGAAAGTAGCAGTTCTGCAGGGCTTAGTGGTTGAGTTAGGGGCTTCCAAAGTTTCTGAAATTTAAACAACAAAATCCCAGGAAGGAGAGAACCACAGAGAAGAAAGCAAAAAATGTGTTTGCAGTCTTTCCTCGAAGTGCTTGCCAACTCCTAAGGTACACGTGATTGGAGCAAGACTCCAGGAATCCCTGTAGAAAGCAACAGTTGGGAACTTTATGAGCAGTGCAAATATTGTAGCAGCCATATATAGTGCTGGTGAGATAAAGGTTGTGTTCAAGGCCTGCCAAGGTAGAGGAGTCTTGGGCCACACCTAAGAGTGATGAAAAACTGAAATAAGCTGCCCCTGACACAATTTAAAGCCAGCCTCTGACAGTATTAAAGTGTTCTGATTATACTCTCTATGCCTGCCAGAAGAACATGTTACATTCTTAGGAGGAACACAATCTGGGTCATCCAGAACCTCTACAGCTTTTAAACAGAATATCCGCCAACCAATAAAAAGTGAAGAAATATGCTAGAAATTGAAACCAAATGACCCAAATGAAGAGAAAAAACAGACAGTAGAAGGACATTCACAGGTGATTTAGATATTGGCATTATCTGCCAGGAACTATGCTCAAGAAAGTAGATGAAAAAGAATTTCAACAAAGATGTGAAATCTTTTGTTTTTTTTTAGTTAGGGTCTCACTCTGTTGCCCAGGCTGGAGAACAGTGGCACAATCACAGCTCACTGCAACCTTGACCTCCTAGACTCAGGTGAACTTTCTTCCACAGCCTCCTGACTAACTGGGACCACAGGTGCATGTCACCACACTAGGCTAATTTTTTGTGGGGTTTTTTTGTAGTGATGAGGTCTTGCTATGTTGCCTAGGCTGGTCTTGAACTCTTGGACTCAAGTGATCTTCCTTGACCTCCCAAAATGCTGGGATTACAGGTGTGAGCCACTGCACCAAGATTGAAGAAGCTCTGCAGTCCTCGGTGGGATAAATACAAAAAGCCATACCTAGGTATAGCATAGTGGAACTGCTATAAGCCAAAAGCAGAGAAAGCTTCAATGTAGGCAGAAATAAAAGGCATATTATCTTCAAAGGTGCAACAAAAAGACTGACAGCTGATCTATCAATAAAAAATTAGTTAACACCAGAAGACAATAGAATTACATCTTGAATGTTCTTAACAAAAATAATTGCTAACCTAGAATTCTCTACCCAGCCCCAATATTAAACAAATAAAAACAGAGAGAATCATCAGCTGACCTCCAGTGAAAAAAATAATAAAGTTCTTCAAGTAGCAAGAAGATAATTTGAGATGGAAGCTCATGTGTACATGAAGGAAAGTAAGGGTTAATATTTGGTAAATATAAGTGAAAATTTACTTTTAAAAACAATAATGATGTCTTATGGGATTTAAAATATGTAGTTGAAAAATATTTGACAATAAAGCACAGCAGATGGGAGATGGTATATAGAGGTTCTTTAAGTGGTAAATTCTAAAATTGCTAATTTGAGATATTCTATCATAAATCGATGCTTACTTTAATTACTAAGATAGCTACTAAAAGAAGAGCAAAAGATTAAATGACTAGCAATCCAATAAGAAGGAAAACATGGAATAATAATAAAATGTTTTTGATTGGTTCTAAAATGAGAAAGGAGAACTAAAAGAACAGGTGAGACAAATAGGAAAAATAGAATGATTATACATTCAAATTCAGCCAGATGAGTATTTATATTACATGTAAATGGACTGTGTTTATAATTAAGAGCCCAAGATTTTTGGGTGGCATAAAATTGCAATTAAAATCCAATTACAGATTGATTATCTCTTATTCGAAATGTGTGGGACTAGAAGTATTTTGAATTTTAGGGTTTTTTTTTCCCGATTTTGGAATATTTTCATTATGCTTTACCAACTGAGCATCTGAAATACAAAAATCTGAAATGCTCCAGTGAGCATTTTCTTTGAGCATCATTTTGGGACTCAAAAAGTTTTAGATTTTGGAGCATTTTGGATTTTGAATTTTGATCTGGAATGTTCAACCTGCATATGCTTTCTATAAGAGACAAGCTTGGGACAAGCTTTGAGGGCACAAATTTGAAAGTAAAAGTTTGGGAAATATATATATATACACATATATTCATATGTAAATATACATACACAGGCAGGCTAAATCAATAAGGTTATAGAAAGTTTAAACAAAATTTTACACCCATCAAACTGCAGAATACACATTTTTTAAAACTGCATATAGATTATTTATTAAAATAAACAATATGCTGGGCCATAAATCAAGTTTAAATAAATTGCAAAAGTATTGAAATCACACGTTCTCTGACCACAGTGCAATCAAAATGCAATCAAAGTAGAAATCAGTAATAAAAAGATAAATAGAAAAACTCCAAATCTTTGAAAATTAGGCATATACTTCTAAATGACCTGTGGGGCAAAGAAGATACACAATAGAAATTAGAATTTTTTTAACTAAATGATAATAAAAATGGTATATAAATGTATAAGATGCTTTTAAAATAGTGCATAGAAAGAAGTGTGTAGCTTTAAATGCGGTATTAGAAATGAGGTAAGATTGAAATAAACTTTCATCTCAAGAAGCTAAAAGCAAGATTAATTAAACTCTTCCAAATTAGGAGGAAGGAAATAATAAAATGCTCAAAACAGAAAAAGAAATGACATAGAAAATAAAATGAAAAGTTTTTTTTTTAAAGATTAATAAAATTGACAAAGCTCTAGTAAGACTGATGAAGCACAAAGAGAATAAAACAAATCAACAATATCAGGAACAAAAAGGATTGTATTACTAGATTCTACAGGCATTGAACAGATGTTAGCACACAATTTTATTTCAATAAATTTAACAGTTTACACTCGGTGAACATATTCCTTGAAATACACAACTTATGAAACTGATACACACACACAAAATTCTATATTTATGAACAAAAAATTCATAATTTAAAGGCTTCACACACAAAATGCCACCTAGCCCAGATGGCTTCTTTGAGGAATTTCTCTAAAACCTTTCAAGGAGGAAATAATGTTGATCTTGCATTAAAAATTCACAAGTAATAGAAAAAGAAGGAACACTTTCCAACTCATTTTATAAAGCCAGCATAACCTTGATACTAAAACTTGACTTAGATATTACAAGTGTTGAACGAAAGAAGTTAGACACAAAAGAGTAAACACTGCTTGACTGCAGTAATTTGAAATTCAAGAGTGTCCACAGTAGAAATCAGAATATACTAATGGGAAACGGCATAAGGGGTCTTCTGGGGATGCTGGAATGTTCTGTATCTTTATCTGGATAGTAGTTGTATGTTGTGTACTTTACGACATGTATGTTGTATCTCAGAAAAAAGGCTATAAATTTGCTCTGGAATATCACATTGATATTTTCATCATCACAGAGTTTCCCTTGTATCAGAATGGAATCTAATGCACATTTCACTTGCTAGCACTCTATTTTGACCGCATTTGATAAATGCACCCCTCCGATGGAGCTCGCCAGAACAGCAGGGAGCATTTGTGCTAGGCACGTTTCTCCTTGGGAATCAAAGAATTACCTAGGCCCAGAGTTGGCTGTGATAGAGCATCCCATTCTCCCAGTCTGTCTCGCTCACTCAAGACAGTGTTGTTTTCTTTGTAGGCACGGTGGTTCTGGGAAGCCTACTTCCAGTCTATTAAAGCCATCGCCCTGGCCACCCTGCAGATTATCAATGACCGGATCCATCCATATGCTGCCATCTCCTATGAAGAATGGAATGACCCTCCCGCTGTGGTAAGTGAATTCCAGTGTAGCTCTGTGAGGCACAATCCAGCTGTCTGGATGGGAGAAGGGACATTGCTCTGCAGTTGTAAAGGTATTTAAACTCCAGCTTTCCAAGATGCGCGTGTGCTTTTTATACTCAGAGCCTGATAAGGGCAGCTCAATTTTGAAATGCTGATGAAAGTAAGAAATACGGAAGCAGCAGCTTCCAGTCTGTTTTACATGTCTTTAGGCAGATAGTCTGTTTATTTATTGCAGAGATAAATGGGAAGGCCTGGGTCTTGTTGGAAATCAAAGATGACTTTTGCAGTTGTGATGCTTAGAGCTCTTGACAAAGTTCTGCAAGCAACTTAATAATAACAGCTTCTATTCTGAGCGCTTACTCCTGCCAGGGACCATGCTAAATGCTTTACATGTATTATTTCAATTAATATTTCCAACACCGTGTAAGGAAAATAATAAGCAAAAGTGATCTAGAGGCTTGATGGATTGCTACAGCCACTGGCTCAAGGCTGTGGCAGGGCCCCTGGCCATGTCCGAAAAGGAATGGAGTGGGCAGAAGCTGCTCTCACGGACCCCCTTCCTTGCCTGAAGGAGTCACAAGGCACTTGTATCATTGCAGAGACTGTGGCAGAAGGTACAGTCTTCTGATTCTGCCTTCTCTAGTGTTGTGTGCTGCCACCTGACTACTCCTCATATAGGACTCTCTTTTCTCTTTCCTTCTCTCCCTCCCCCTCTTCCTTTTTTCATCCAACCTTTATGAAATGGTTACAGGTTTTAGGCACTCTGAGGGGTGCTGAGAATACAGAAAAAAGAAGACAGCCCCTCCCATCAAAGAAGTGCACCACTAATTTGGGAAGCTAGCAAGTAAAGCACCAATTGATTGGAAAGCCCTGTAGTAGAGTGGTGTACAGGGTGCTGTGGGCGCATAGGGAACGGGGGCTTTCCTGGATGAGGGGTGCCTGAGAGGAAGTAAACATGTGCTTATGGTAAAACATAACATCTTTCCATTTTGCTTGAGGTGAAGTTTCCATCTCTCTCTCTCTCTCTCTGTCTCTCTCTTCCCCCTTCTCCCCCCCACTTGAATTCATTACCAAAAGTAACCTTCCAGAGTGTCTCTACTCTTATATAAGCATTATTATTTAATCTTAAAACACATAAAGGAGTATACTGTACGAGTGCATATTTTTACTTACCTTTTTCACTTTAGCAACAGACCGTGGAATTTTCCATTTTAGTCCATGTAGGTCTACTTCAGTTTTTTAGGAAGGCTCTGTGGTATTCCATTGTTTGAATGTATCTTATGTAGTAGGTCTATTATTGATAGATATTTAGACTACTTTCTTTTTTTCCCTATTTTCTAGCAGTAATACAAGGGACATATTTTCATATCTGTACATACATGTGTAAATATTTATAGAATTAATTCCAGCTAAGAAATTCCTTAAAGAAAATAAACATTTTAAATGTTGATAAATATGTGTGTGTGTGTGTGTGTATACAGTATACATATACTGTATACATATACATATATATATATATATATTTTTTTTTTTTTTTTTTTTTTTTTTACTGTAGTGATGAGGTCTTTCCAAGTTGCCCAGACTGGTCTCGAATCCCTGAGCTCAGGCAATCCTCTCAAGTGAGCCACTGCACCACTGTATAGTTCTATAACGAACATTTTGGCTGCTCTGGTTCTCTGTGCCTTCAGTAACTCCAAGTACTTGGATTTTTGTTCATCTCCTAGGTGAAAAATATTCTTTTGTGTGTATTTTTCAATCAGATTCCCCCAAATAATTCTGTTTATATTTTGATTGGTGTCACGTTGAATTTGGGGTTTTGGGGGGGGGATTTGCTTATTCAGTAGGCATTTATTGACTGCCAGCTTTGTTCCAGGCAGGATTATTGATACTCTGAGTGAATCAGTGAACAAGACACAGAAGGATCCATGCCTCTGGGAGGCTTGTGCTGCTGTGGCTCTTGCTATCTGGGAGACAGATCTGTCTTCCTAGTGGAATTTAGAAGTTTTCTTTATATAGGTCCTGTCCAAGTCTTGATAGATTTTTCTTAGATTTTTTAAATGTTTCTTATGTTCTAGAATAAAGCAATACTTTCTGATCTTATCTTTTTTGTTGTGTTTTTTTTGAGAGTAAGATTTATTAAGAAGACAGAAACACTCCCACAGTGGGAGGGAACCTGAAAGAGTTTGCCCTATTGTTTTTAACTGATTACCATTTGTATAAAGACACATTTTGACTTTTGTATATTAATTTTGTGACTACTCTTTTACTGAATTCTACAGTTGCTTCACCTTTTTTTAGTTGATTCTCTTATATTTTTTAGACATGCAATCATATCTACAAATGGCATTGGCTAGTACTTCCAGAACAACGTGAAATGATGATTTGAGTGTTAAAAGAGAAGAATAAGCTGGGCTCGGTGGCTCAGCCTGTAATCCCGCGCCTTTGGGAGGCTGAGGTGAGTGGATTGCCTGAGCCCGCGGGTTCGAGACCCGCCTGGGCAGGCGAGACCTCATCTCTACAATAAATCAAAAAACCAGCTAGGCGTGGCAGCGCGCGCCTGTAATTCTGGCTACCCGGAAGGCTGAGGCGGAAGGATGACCGGAGTCCAGCAGGTTGAGGCTGCAGTGGCCGGGAGCAGCTACTGCACTCCGGTCTGGGCGACCGAGTGAGACTCCAACTCAAAAAAAAAAGAGAGAGAAGGATAGCTATTATCTAGTCAGATAAAGGAGGAAAGTTGGGTTCCATTCAGAAGGAAGCACAAATTCAAGAGCTACAGAGGGAGAAGGGAGCATGGTGACTTAAGGATCTCTAAGGAGTTCAGTATGACCAGTGAAGCAGACTTGAAAGGAGAGACAGAGGATGAGGCCTTGAGGGACCCAGATCACAAAACACCTTGTGTCTTACACACCGCATTGGAGAGTTGTCCATGGGTAGTCAGTAATGATGGGAGCATTTTCAACAGGGGAGTAATGTGATAAGATTGCATTCTGGGTCAGGCTGACTCAGTGTGGAGAATGGTTTATGTACTGCAGTGGTACGAGACTGAAGACAGAGGCTATTTCAGAAATCCAGAGGAGAATTAGCAGAGAACAGATTGGATCGGCATCTGGGAAAATGACCATTCCCACCGGTGAGTGAGGAGACGCTTAGGAAGACCAAGGCGCGCTATATGGTTGATCAGGTGGGGTTCTGGGCTTCCTGGCAAGCTGTTGACCAAGTAGGAACCCCAGTCTTCTACTGTGGATGATTGCGACTCACCTGTGGGTTACAGGGGACCCTCGAGCCTCCTCAGGGCTGAACGTCCTCACTGCTCCCAGCCAGTGGTGATTGTTTGAGATGAAGAGTCTCACATCTGTTTCTCTGCAGGGGCATTTATACAGGAGGATGGTCATGACCCAGACAGAGATGTGGAAACGGCGGAACTTTATCCTGTGCTTTTATCTAACGCTCTAAGAGACATTTCATAAGAATAAAGGGTTGGAATTTTAATTTTCTTTCATAAGAATATAGACTTAGGAGAAAATAAAATGAAAATTTTCAGTTTTGAAGTAGATATGCTTTAGTTGAGGACAAAATGGTCAAAACGCTGAGCTCTTAACAATTTGGGAACAAACATAAGCGTAAAAAACATAAATCTAGATATACTATTAGAAAGTGCATTCTCTCTCTTCTTTTTAACTCTTGCTTAGATAGACCTTTTTAGGACACTTTAGTATTGACTATATTTCTAGGAGCTCAAGTGATAAGAGTCCTGATTTAGAGCAGTGGATCGACCGGGCTTGGTGGCTCAACCTATAATCCCAGCATTTTGGGAGGCCATGGCAAGTGGACTGCTTGAGCCTGCAGGTTCGAGACCAGCCTGAGCAACTTGGCAAGACCACTTCTCTACAATAAAATAAAATAGAAATAGCTGGGCGTGGTAGCGCGCCTGTAGTTCCACTACTTGGAAGGCTGAGGCGGAAGGATCAATGCTGGGATGGCATGAGCATGCCACTGCACTCCAGGCTGGGCGACAGAGTGAGACTCCACCTCAAAAAAAAGCAGTGAATCATACATTTCTTTGTCTTTAGTGAAAGCAACGGACAGGAGGCCTGAGTGGCAACGACTGATTTATGGTCAGTTCCTCTCCTCTTAAGGAATATTTAACTTACTCTAGATGGGATTACTATGAGCCCAGCCTGCAGGGGAGTCTCTTCTCTAGATTCCATCAGATGTATAATGTCAGGCACCTGAGGTGGGAGCAGGCGTGGATCTTGGTCAGTAAATCAAGGCATAGTCTGGTTTGCTCACAGGGCCTCCAGCCATGCACAGAGCATGCTCAGACTGGGAAGAAGCCAGTGTTGAGAAGCATGTTCTGGCCAGATGCAGTTGGCTTGACTTAATGTAGAGGAGGCTGGTGTGTGGATGACAATGACTGCGGGTCGCCTTGCAGATGGCTGGTGTCACCGGATGCTTTGCCATTCCTGTCTGTGAAGCAAGGCTGATCGCATTCTCCATGTGGTGCCGTACCCTCAGCACTTGAAAAAGTGAAGCAGTATTATTATCATTATTTTTAATAATCAATATTTTTTATTATGATATTGTGGGGTACAGTTAAGAGTTAGGTATAAAAATATGCTTTGTTCAGGCACCCTTGTTGATAAGAGGTGTCTCCCCGTCCCCAGACAGATATTTACTACCATTAATCCCATCTCCCTTCCCCCCCTCCATAGTTTCCCACCACTGTCAGTCATTTCTCTTATGGTAATACGTTGGATGATCAAGGTCCACTATATGAGTGAGAACATGTGATACTCATATCTTTGTTTCTGTGAGAGGTCACTAAGTATTATAGATTATAGTTCCATCCAGGTTGCTGTGAAATTCATGATTTTGTTTTTGTTTGTTTGTTTGTTTGTCTGTTTGTTTGTTGAGTTGGAGTCTCACTCTGTCACCCAGACTGGAGTGCAGTGGCCACTCCTGGCCACCACAGCCTCAACCTGCTGGGCTCCAGCAA